CACAACCTCATCTGTCTCTGTCCTCACCCCTTCTCTCGTTCTGGGTCATTGGAATTGTTTGTAAATTCTGCTGTTTTGTCTCTTCTGTTAGACAGAGAGGCAGAGCACAGGGCAGAGAGTCAGTTTTCTCGTCTGTAAAATGGGAATAATGGGTGATAAACCCCATCCTGCATACCTCCCTGAGTATAAGCATCTGCCTAGCCAGTGGAGTACAGTGGCTAACAACCATGAGGTTTTGGAACCAGACAGCTGGGTACAAATCCCGGGTCTGCCACATCATCATCATCATTATTATTATTATGTTTTCTGGGGCAAGTTCCCTAACCTCACTGTGCCCCTCTTCTGAAAGACAAAATGACAACAGCGCCTGCCCCAGAGCTGTTAAAAGGATTAAACAACACAGGGCCTGTACGTACCATGCCTTCCAGCAGCCTGGGGCACGACCTGCACGCAGCTGCTGCTAACAATGAATACTGCTATTCTGATTCACAGGCTTCAGAGCACTTTGTGAACCAGAGTGCTGGGAATACAATGCATGGTTGAGGCGCTACTCATTTCTCCACATCCCCTAGTGCAGAAAAAACAAACTAAACCCATTGCCGTCGAGTCAGTTCCGACTCATAGCGACCCTATAGGACAGAGTAGAACTGCCCTGTGGGGTTTCCAAGAAGCGGCTGGTGGATTTGAACTGCTGGACTTTTTGGTAAACAGCTGAGCTCTTAACCACTGTGCCACCAGGGCTCCCTAGTGCAGAAAGCAGATATTCAAATCAGTTGGGTGAGGAATCTCCCAAGAACACGGACATGGGATCACTCTCTGGGAACCAAGTTACACCATCGTAGAAGACCACAGAAGATAAACACAGCACCTTAGACTGAAGACACCGAGTGGCTCCCAGGCCGCCGTAGCGGGTAGCTGAAAAGCATTCTTGTACCTACCAAAGCGATCAAATGGAAGCCGAGCTGGCCAACAACAGACACAGACCACAGAGGAGGTGGCTGGGGGAACAGTAGCCCACCTCAGTGGCGTCCAGGGGAGAGAGGCAGGGACAGGCACAGCGCAAGAGTGAGGACAGACATACCAGGCTGTCAGATCTCAATGCCATGAAATGTTTGAATCCTGCAACTCTGGAGCAAAAAAAGCATTCAACAGCTAGATGAAGTGACTATCTAAGACCCCACTGGCCTCCATCTGTATGCTTCAGTCTCTTAGGAGCGAGTCTGAAGCGTCAGGGGGAGGATCAGACTCTCCACTGCGATCAATTTACCAAGTAATTACCAATCTGGGCAGGAGGCTTTGGTGGTTCACTGGTAGAATTCTCACCTTCCGCTAGGGAGACCTGGGTTTGAAGTATGATTCCTGGCCAATGTGCCTCATGCACAGCTACCCTCCTCCCTCAGTGGAGGCTTGTGTGTTGTCATGATGCTGAATAGGTTTCAGTGAAGCTTCCAGACTACGATGGACTAGGAAGAAAGGCCTGGTGATCTACTTCCAAAGATCGGCCAATGAAAACCCTATGGATCACAACAGTCCAATCTGCAACTGATCATGGGGATGGCGCAGGATCAGGCAGCATTTTGTTCCATTTTGTTCCGGGTTAGGGTTAGGGTTGCCACGAGTCAGGGGCCAACTTGACGGCAGCTAATAACCAACCACTCTCTGAGGCGGGTTCAGGCCAGTCCATTTGTCTTCATACACTTTTCTCTCAAACTTCCACCTGAGAAAATGTTTGTTGAATGAGAGCACCAAACAGCCAGGTAAGGTCCAGTGTTACACTAATCTCCTCAAAGGCCCTTCTCGCTCTCGCTCAGCCACAAACAAACCAGTATCTTTAATGCTGCTTTGAAAAGCAAGAGTATGTCAAGCACCCACAATCCCACCACCTGGGGGCAGACAATGATGGGCAGTCTTGTGAGTTAATTTAAATTTTCTTCTTTACATTTTCTCCGTTTCCCAAATGTTCTAGAAAGAGCATGTGCTACTTTTAAGGATGGAAAATATAGACTTCCAGAAAGTCCAATGGATCCTATACTACCTGAACAAATCTACACTGTCTCCTGCTCATGTACTAAACAATCTCTATGGTGGAGTTTCACCATCCTGTTAAATGATTCATTAAATCTTAATTTACCCAAGTCTATAGAGATCAAAGTTCATTGGTGGTTATCAGGGGGAGAGGAAGACACAATGCTTAGGGGTCACCGAGCTTCTGTGAAGGGTGATGGAAAATTCTCGGAACAACATGATGAATGTAGCTGATGTCGCGGAAAGTAAAGCCTGTAGAAATGGCAATGTTTTGTTACCTATATATTTACCACAAGAGAAAAAATTTAAAAAATTAAGTCACCTCTTTACAGGACCTCAGGAACTTGGTCATTTGTGTGTGAGCATGTTCTAGGGAGGGAAGCAGGAGGATAGTGCTGGGGGGAAGGTGAGGCTGGGGCAGCTGAGCTTCTAAAAATATATTTCTTTTAACATGTGCAAAAGCATTCATTCCCACGTACCTAATTCAAGAGTATGACCCTGTCCCCTTGGAGTTTCCATATTAAAAAAATAGACTTCTTCAAAAAGAGGGAAATAATAGAGTAGGAGAAGAACAAGGACTACAAAACAGAGAAATGGCCCAAATGAGATATAACCCAAACCAGACCAAACCAAACCCATTGCCGTCGAGTCGTTTCCAACTCAAAGCAACCCTATAGCGCAGACGAGAACTGCCCCACAGGGTTTCCAAGGATTCGAACTGCCGACCTTTTGGTTAGCTGCCTGGGCTCTTAACCACTGTGCCACCAGGGCCCCAAATGAGATATAAAGAGAAGTTTCTAAATTTTCCAGTTCACTGTCCAATCCTTACCTCAGCTAAGGGTTGGCGGGGGGCAAAAGTAGCCCTCATTTCCACAGAGTGGATGTCGCGGCCCTTCCTCTCCAGCTCTCTCTGACTCACAGACTTAACCGTCCCTTCTCCACACAGAACCTCTTTGTTGTCAAGCTCATTTTTCTCCATTAGTCTTAGATCCCTGCCAAGATGCCTGGCTCCAGGTTGGCACGCCATGGGCCTTGAGTGTCCTATGAATTCTGAAACTGGATCAAAGAAATGCACGACACAGGACTGACACAGGAATACAGGAACCCCAAATGGTTCTTGGTCTGGTGAACAACTCCTAACTAAAAACATGGCTCAGTGACCAGCTGTGTTCCAGAATTTAGGGATAGAGAAAGATGAAAGCGACCCAGGCACCATTCCTAAGAGCTCACGCGGAGCCTGGGAACCCCTGGAGGAAAGGACCAGAGGCCTGGGAAGGGGTAACAGTCAATGGCCAGGGGGTGGGGGTGTCCAGGTGTGGGTAGGGGAAGTGCATGAGGCTGGGGCAGGGGGTGAAGGGTCTGGAATATCACTCAAAGGAATCTGGACTTTATCCCACAGATTGATGGCTCTTGGCCTTTTGGATTTCAGAGTTGAGTAGAAGTTCAACAAACGTGGAAGACTTACTCAGGATGGCTAATTGTTGACTTTGCCAAATAAGGCCATGAAACCAAACCCCAAAACTCGACACCAACCACCAATTACTATTTACCATCATTTCACAAAAGGGCGTTCAAACACCAAAAAAGTAGGAAGGACACAAACTCAGAATGAAGGAACGACAGTCCTTCCCTCCCCTAAAAGACAGCGCAACCTTCTGCTGACATACAGATGTCCACTGCATTGTCCCTGCCGTTCTCATCTTTCCACAGACAGATGGAAACTTCCTCATAGAACAGGCTTGGGACCCACGGCTGTGGGCCCAAGAGTGACAGGATAGCTCAGAACCGAGCACTACACCCGCTTGTGGTATCCAAAACATGAAATGCATTTGGTTCGCTGACCCAGAATACAAAATGAGGTGAAGTTGATGGAAGTGGCAGGCCTGGTGCCTACCACAGCGTCCACCAGTGTACGGACCCACTAGAGCAACAGGATATAGCTGACGTTTCTCGAGGCTTGTGGAGGTGTATGGGTTGAACTGTGTTCCCAAAAAAGATACGTTGAAGTCCTAGCCCCCAGTACCTGTGAATGTGCCATTACTTGGCAATAGGATGCGTGCAGATGTAACCAAGTTAAGATAAGATTATTAGGGAGGTCTCAATCTAATACAGGAGCCCTGGTGGCACAGCGGTTAAGTGATACAACTGCTAACCAAAAGGTTGGCAGTTCAAATCCACCAGCTGCTCCTTGGAAACCCTATGGGGCAGTTCTACTGTGTTCTATAGGGTTGCTATGGGTTGGGATCGACTTGACGGTAACAGGTTTTTTTTTTTGGGGGGGGGTTTAATCCAATATAATTGGTGTCCTTAAAGGAAGAGACACAGATAGAGACACAGGGGAGAATGCCATGTGACAACAGAGTCGGACTGGAGGGATGCCGCCACAAGCCAAGGAACGCCAAGGCTTGCTAGCAACACCAGAAGCTAGGAGCCAGACATGGAATGGATCCTCCCCTCAGAGCCTCCAGTAGGAACAAACACTGCCAGTGCCTTGATTTTGTACATCGAGCCTCCAGAAGCGTGAGATAATACATTTCTGTGGTTTTAAGCCACCTAGCTTGTAGTACTTTGCAGCAGCCTGAGGAAACTGCTACGGGAGAGAAGCTTCCATGGTCAAACGGGTGTGGAAAACATGGAGATTTTTAAAAAGCATATTGCTCACTCATTTATCTCTCCAGGGCTTGAATGCACATGTGGTGCTTCGAGACCAGACTCCACTATGCAGTGTCTCCCTGACGGATTTGACCGTGGAAGCCTCCTCTCAGTACTGACACAGCTCAGGAATTGCACCGGGCACACAGTCAGTGCTCTGCGGATGCTTCTTCATTATTTAGCAAGTGCAGCCTCTCTGGATGGGTCTCGCTGATGACGGTGCTGAGGTTAGCATACAGAAGCAGTGCAAGCACAGAGGGGCGCTGGCAAGGGTTGGTGACCGAGGACATCATGCGCCTGCCTGGCAAGCAGCAACCACGTACCTCGAGGTCGGAGTTGATGGAGGAGACCTCAGAGGAGCTGCTGGAAGACACGCGGGCCCGGATGACCTGCACGGGGGGGTACGACGGGGGCTCCTGCAGGGAAACATCTCCAGTGCTCATCTGTTGGTCATCAGGCAGCCTGGTGGCACTGCAGCCGGCCTGCAAGGCATGTGGAGAGGGCAGAGAGGGACAAGTAGTTCATCTCTTTATTTCTGAATTGTCAACCATTACATACCTCAGGACTCAAAAGGTACAAAAGGGTGCACTGTGCAAAGTCCACCTCCACCGTGTCCCGCCGTCATCAATTCTCCTGCCTCAAGGGGCGGCCAGTGTAATCAGCTTCTTGTGCGTCCTTCTGGATACTCTATAGATACATAGTCTAATCTAACACACACACACCACACACATATACATAAAATGACAACCACTTGCCAACCAGGTGCCTTTGACTCATAGCGACCCCATGTGTGTCGGAGTAGAACTGTGCCCCACAGGATTTTCAATAGTTAATTTTTTGGAAATGGATCGCCAGACCTTTATTCTGAGGTAGCTCTGGGTGGACTCGAATACCCAACCTTTCAGTGGGCAGTCCAGAGCATTAACTGTTTGCACCACCCAGGGATTCCCTATATATTTATGTAAAACTAAAACCAAACCCGCTTGTCGTCAAGTTGATTTCAACTCCTAGCAACCCTACAGGGTAGAGTAGAACTGCCCCATAGAGTTTCCAAGGCTGTAATCTTTACAGAAGCAGACCGCCACATCTTCCTCCCGCGGAGCTGCTGGTGGCTTCAAACCGCTAATCTTTTGGGTAGCAGCCAAGCGCTTAACCACTGCGCCACCAGGGCTCCTTCTTCCCCCTCGCTGCACATATGCTAGCATATCTCCACGCTCTCTCCTGTATTTTTCCCACATAACAATGTGCTTTAGGGTGAGTTCTAGATCAGAAGAAATTTTTTTTGTAGCCTAGTACTGGTGTTCACAGTTTATCTAACCAGTCCCCTAGGATGGCCACTGAGGCTGTTTCCAATCCCTTGATTTTACAGTCAACACTGTCTGCAGCAAACTACATTTACATCCAAGATTTTTTATTTAAAGGATGAACTCCTAGAAGAGGAGCTTCCGGATCAAAGGGCATGTGCACTTGCCATCTGGGTGGCTGTTGCCAAAAACGCCCCCCATGCAGGCTTTAACAACGCACGCTACGGGTACGAAAGTGAGTCGGGAAGGTTTAGGGGAGGAAGAAACGTGTGAAATTTTATTTCCGTCTGTCTGTCTTTCTCAGACAAGAGCCTCCTCCAAAAAGGCTCATGGGGTGAGGGGTGGGGTGGGGCTTCCTCAGAGATCTACAGAGGCTAGGGTTGGCCAGGGACGCAGAGCCAGGCAGGACTTAGGTCGGTCCCGGACACATGACAGGGTGAACAATCTGCTGTCTGGACCTACATCTTCCACTAATTAACCACGTGGCCTCAGAAAGAGACTTACCCTTAGAGTCTCAGTTTCCCAATCTATAAAAGGGGGTGATAATCCATGCCTTGCGTCCTTTGAAGGGGTGTCGCGAGACCCGGATGTAAACGTCTGGACGCATGAGAAAAACGGCCACTAGGACTGGACCCCACGTGAAGCAGGGCTCCAGCCCTCGATGGGTTAAGTGCAGTCCCATGTGAGGGTCAGCCAGACAGGCAGCTCACCTGAGCAGGATGCTGGAAGAGAACCTTCAGGGCAGCCCCAGGGCATGGTGAGGGTGAGGAGTGGAGGAGCAAGGGTGAGACAGGGTGGGATGAAGGGGCAGCATGGTGCGGAAGACATACAGAGGCTTCCCAGGCAACGAGAGAGAGAAATGATGGAAATTCCTCAGGGCCTGTGATAGTTAAGGTTGTGTCAACTTGGCTGAGCCACGAGTCTCAGTGGTCTGGCAGTTATGTAATGATGTAGTCATCCTCCATGATGTGATCTGATGTGATCAGCCAATCAGTTGTAGGGGGAGTTTCCTCGGGGATGTGGCCTGCATCCAATATATACGGATGTTCTGGAAAATCCTGCTTGCTTGCTCTGGATCCTGCATCTGCCTCGTCACCATCTGACCTCTGGTTCTTGAGCCAGTGGCCTGCCGTCTCACCTGCTGATCTTGGGTTTGTCAGCCCTTGCAGCTACGTGAGTCAGAAGAAGCCTCTAGCCTGACACCTGACTCATGGACTTGGGACTTGCTCATCTCTATGACCATGTGAACCATTTCCTTGAGATAAATCTCTCTCTCTCCATATATATATATACACTTCACTGGTTTTGCTTCTCTAGAGAACTCAGCCTAAGACAGAGCCTGACCACACCTGAGTCACCAGAGAAAAGAAGTTTTCAAATGTCCCACGCCGAGGTAGGGGCAGTTGATCCCTGTGACCCCGGGCACCTTGATGAGGCTCAGCCTGAAGGAACTGGCAGTTCCAGCATCTCTTGGATTCTCTCTCCTGAGGACCAGTGCCCAGGAGGGGCTGCTGGGAAAACAAGTGAGCTGTCATTGCCCCTGTCCAAATGGCTCTCAAAACAAGTTACATATCAATGCATCTTGCCCACTGGGAACCGACTTTGCCACATGGCGACCCCATGCACAACAGAACAAAATACTGCCCAGACCCATGCTATTCCCATAATCTGTTCGAATTTCACCATTGTTTTCACTGGCTGGTTTTTGAAGTAGATTGCCAGGCCTTTCTTCCTAGTCCATTTTAGCATCATAGCAACACGTAAACCTCCACTGACAGACAGGCGGTCACTGTGCATTAGGTGCATTGGCCAGGAATTGAACCAGGGTCTCCTGCATGGAAGGTAGGAATTCTGTCACGGAACCACCACTGCCTCAATAAAAAAATAGCAATCATTTATCAAGTGCTTACTTGGTGTTGGCCATTAAGCCAAGTGACAGGCAGTACAGCATAGTGATCAAGGCCACAAGCTTGGATAAGACAGGTCTGAGTCCTGGCTCTACTACTCACAAACTGTGTGACCTTAAGCAAGGTGCTTAACCTCTCTGTGTCCCATCTTCCTTATCTGTAAAATAAGGCTAAGAGGGTTGGCTGTGAGGATTACATTAATCTATGTAAAGCACTTAAGGAGCTCTGGTGGCGCAGTGGTTAAGCAGCCAGCTGTTAACCAAAAGGTGGGCGGTTTGAATCCCCCAGTCTCTCTGCTGCAGAAAGATGTGGCAGTCTGCTTCCGTAAAGATTACAGCCTTGGAAACGCTATGGGGCACTTCTACTCTGTCCTATAGGGTCGTTACGAGTCAGAATCGACTCAGTGGCAGTGGGTTTAAGTGTTAGCTTTATTTACACACAGCCTGGCAAGTAGTTTGCCCTCAGTCAATAGACTGCACTGGGAATGGTGCCACGGAAGCCGTGTGGGGTGGTGGCCAGCCATGGCTGTGCCACGGGGCTCAGGCTCACTGTAGGAGCCGTCTCAGAGACGTCTCTCGCCCTCTGGTGGACACAGAGGGAAGAGGCAGAGTGTAAGTATTTGGAGGCTGTTCCTCAGCAGGAATCCACTCAGGATTCAGGGAGCAGAAGGGTAAAGTTAATGCAACATTGCCCTGTTATTTTCCAGAAGTCTCAGGGTTTGAAGATGTATGGTGCACAGCTTTGGCTAGATGCTGCCCAAGCTCCCTGACTTTCCTGAAGGCTTCCCCCGCCCCCCCACCTGCTCATCTACTCTCCCATCAGCAAGAGGGATTCATGGCTGGAAAACAAAACAAAACAAAACAAACTAGTAACCATCAAGTAGATTCCGACTCATGGTGACCCCACGTGTGCAGATTAGAACTGTGCTCACAGGGTTTTCAAGGCTGCGACCTTTCAGAAGCCAGGCCTGTCTCCCGAGACACTTCTGGGAGGGTTTGAACCAACAACCTTTTGGCTAGTAGTCAAGCCCTTAACCATCTGCGCCACCGGGACTCCCTGCTGGCCGAAGTGGGCTCTTAATTTCAAGAGCATGCTCTGAGTGTCTCTAGCTTCACTTGGAGCACACACAGAGTTATCTGCACCCAGTTTCCAAGGAACAACAACACAGAGGAAGACCTCTCTCTCCAGCCGAAACACTTTGCGCACCACTGAGTCCTACGGGCAGCTCATCAGGAGCCGCTTCCCCCTCCAGCTCTGTGTTCAAAGCACACCTTTACCAAGAGCCCGCGTCACACCAGGGTCTAGGCACTGGGAGTAAGTGAGAGAAGACAGACAAAGCGCTTTGGAGTTCACATCCTAGCAGGAGGAGACAGATCACAAGCAAGAGTAATAATAGTGCTAAGTGCTTTGCAGAGAATTGAAATAAGGTAGTTCCTGAGTGGTGTAAACATTTAAGGTGCCCAGATGAAAAGGTTGGAGGTTTGCGTTCACTCAAAGAGGCCTCGCCAACTACTTCCGAAAAATCAGCAGCTGAAAACTGTATGGAGCACAGCTCTACTCTGACACACATGGGGTCGCCATGAGTCCGGATTAAATCGATGGCAACTGGTAATCTGATAGGGGGGCAGAGGCTTCTTCTGACTGGGTGGTTGGGGGGAAAGGCCTTTTGAGAAGGTGACATTTAAGCTGAAGTCCCAAAGACAAGAAAGAGGCAGCTGTGTAAAAAAGCAGGAGGAAGCGCATTCATGGCAGAGGGATGGAGAGAAATGCTACACGGCTACACAGGAGAGAAGAGGCAGAGAGAAGAGGAAGATAGAGAGCAAGGGCCTGGGCTCGTAGGTCTGGGAAGTCTTGGTAAAAAGTTTAGATTGCATTCTGAGTGAAATGGGAAGCCGGGGGAGTGTTTTCAAACCAGAGAGAGACAAGATGCCATTTACACTTGGAGAAGATCCTTCTGGCTTCCGGGTGCAGATGGCTGCGGGTGAAGCAGGAGCAGAAGTGGAGAGGAAGACCCACTAGGAGGATGGTGGACAGGAGATCTATTATAAAGGTAGTTCTGTAGTTACAGGGAGCCCCGGTGGCGCAGCGGTGAAGCGCTCACCTGCCAACCAAAAGATCAGTGGTTTGAACCCACCGGCCGCTCCTCCGGAGAACGATGTGGCAGTCTGCGTCCGCAAAGATTACTGCATTGGAAACCCGATGGGGCAGTTCTACTCTGTCCTATAGAGTTGCTATGAGTCAGAATTTGACTGGACAGCAATGCGTTGGTAGTTACAAGACTTGCAAATGGATTGGATGGGCATTTAGTGAAGGGGGAAACCCTGAGTGGTGCAAACAGTTAAGGGCTTGGCTACAAACCAAAAGGCTGGCGTTCAAACCCACCCAGAGGTGCCTCAGAAGAAAGGCCTGGCAATCTACTTCTGAAGGGTCACAGGCTATGAAAACCCTATGGAGCGCAGTTCTACTCTGACACACGTGGGGTCACTGTGAGTCGGAATCAACTCGATGGCCACTAGTCTTCAGGTTTTAGGGGAAGAGAGGAATTCTGGCTTGAAGAACTGCAAGGACAGTGGTGTGGTTTACTACGATGAGGAGGGCGGGGAGGGGAGTCGGTCCGGGCCTGAGCAGCTGGAATTGTTTGGCTATGGTAAGTGGGAGATGCCACGTGGTGATGGGGGGCTGGGCAGCCAAGACTGGAACCGAGGGGAGAGGGAGAGACTGGAGACACAAACCCCGGACGTCAGCCAAGAGTTGGTATGTAAAGCTCTGGGCTGGGATGAGGACCAGGACAGAGCCTGGGGGCACTCCAACTTTAAAGCCCATCTTAAGAGGAGGAGCCAGCAGAAGTGTGAGGGTGGCAGAGACCAGGAGTGTGGAGGCCACAGAAACCCAAAGAAGCTAGTGGCCAACTAAGTTGCATCCCAGTTAGAACAGAAATGACCACTGGATTTAGCAATTTGAAGGTCACTGGTGATCTGGACCAGGACAGGCTTAGTGAATGGTGAGGATGCGCAGGGTGAACGTTTTCATCTCTTTTCCTGTTTTCTCCAACCCTCTTTCTGTTGTGGAGCCAGGTGGGCAGGTCAGGAACCTGCGAGTCATCCTGGAGCCCTCCCCCTCCCTCACCCCACAGCCTCACACCCTCCACGGCTCTCCCTCCCAACTCTCTGTCGACTCCGTCTCTGCTCGTCCACCTGCTTCAGCTTGGTTTAGGTCTCACTGCCGCCCTCCTGGACTTAGCGCAGTCCCCTGCTGACCGCCCTGCTTCTAGTCTCCACTCTCCCCAGTCCGCTGTCCACAGTGCCAGCGCGACGACTCTAAAATGCATGTCTGACTGAGTCTTTGGTACTGAAGCCTTTCCTGGCTCTGATCACCTTTGGGATGACAGCAGCCAGACCCTGTGGTGTGATGATCTGTCCCTCGCCTCCTTTCTACCCTTATCTCCCCTCTGTCTGTACACCATGGCCTTGGACAGCTACCTCCTCTTTTTACATACTTCCCTGCCTCATCCTGCCCATGCCTCGGCTAAAGCATCACCTCCTCCAGGAAGTCTTCCAGGATTGCTCCCAACCTTCTGGACACCTGGCTGTGGCCCAGGCTGCTCACCTGCTGCACGGGCTCAATGGTCATCTCCATGTAGTGACTGATGACTCCCATTGTCCTGAGTGACTTGTAGTTTGGTAACGTGGTGAGAGGCACCCAATCCGGATTCTTTTATGTGGAGACAGTGAGACAGAAAGGGGAAGTCTTAAAGTCAGCAGGCATTTTGAAAACAGAAGGTCCCATTTTCTTCAAAATAACCCCCAAAGTATTTGGTCTATTGCTTTCCAGTACATTTCACTTTCTGCTTCATATACAATGTGCCCTCTCTCGCCTTCTAGACTGTGACCTCCTTGAGGTCACAGTAGGTCAGTGGTCCCCAAACTTTGCTGCACAGTGGAATCACCTGGGGATCTTAAGAAAAAACAATTGATGCTTAGCTTCTATCCCCTGACATTCTGATTTAACTGGAATAGGATGTGACCTGGGCAGTGGCTATTTTAAAAGCACCCAGGTGGTTCTAATGTGCAACAGAATTTGGGAACCACTATAGTAGGTGAGGAGCCCTGGTTAGTGGTGCAGTGGTTAAGAGCTCGGCTGCTAACCAAAAGGTCGGCAGTTCGAATCTACCAGCCGCTCCTTGGAAACCCTATGGCACAGTTCTACTCTGTCCTATAGGGTCACTAGGAGTCAGAATTGACTTGATGGCAGCAGTGGGTTTGGTTTGGTAGTAGGTGCTAAATGAATGCTTTTGTAAAGCAGTGGTTCTCAAACTTTAGTGTGCACCCACTAGCACCCAGGGGGCTTGTTAAAACAGATTGCTGGACCCCACCTTCAGTTTCTGGTGGGGCCCTATAATTTGCATTTCTAAGAAGTTCCCAGTTGATAGGCTTCGAGAACCATCTCTATAAAGGATTACTGAAAAGAATTCAAAGGTGGCGACTTCCTCCCTTCAGAATGCTAAGACATACAGAGCCCCCTTTAAATGTTTCAGCTCCTTTTCTGGGATACAATTTCCTAACAGTTGCTAGAATGGAATAAACATCATTCTACATTAGTCGTCATGGGAACTTGAATCTTTGGTCCAAGCATCTATACAAATAGCTTTGCCTTTGCCATAGGAAGTAGCTTATACACTAGTATCTTTCACTTTGTTAACCTTAATTCCACAATCTGATTACATTGTTAAGCCTCGAACATTTGGATGAGCAATTTTGCTTTTTATCTGATTGCGCGCCACCATGTCTTCCTCCCCAGCCAGTGGGCCTGGTTCACTCACGGTGCACCTCGTTCCCACTCTTCGTAATAGGGACCTATGGTAGTGAGGAGCCTGGGTAGCAGGTAAGACTCACCCCCCAAAAATATCTTAGAAAAGAAGGAGTCACCTATGTTCAAGTCCTTACAAGATCTCTCATGTTATGAGGTACTTTCTCAATTATTTTAAACCAAGAACTTTTTGATGAAGACAAATCACCTCGATCAGAGTTAAGTTCCGGCTACTTATAGAGGTCACCTGATTAAATCAGTAAAAGCAGGCGACACACACATTTACCCCACATGTATGGACTGTTACTGGCGGTCTGACCTCATAACTGTACGCGTTGGCTGTTACTGCAAAGAACACTTCTAAAGATCAACTTTTTAACAATCCAGAAAAATAAAACTGAAAGAGGAAATAACAACTGAGAAAGCAATACAGTAAGCAGTTACACTGTAGTGCCCACAGATGGCAAACGGGTCCCTGTGACTGAGAAGAATGTTCAGAGACGGCCTCACACAGATTCACAAAGTGCTGCACCGAACAGCTTACCATGAAGATGAAGCTTCTGGAAAACTGTGTTAGATGGATGCCCGTGAGAGCCGGAATGAGGATTTTTTATGAAATACAAGATTGAAAAAAAATCACGATTCCTCAATTAGTATACTAATTTATGTAGCATATAATTATAATTAAATAAGTTTTTTTTAATGAAATATAAAATCAGAAAAAGCACGATTCCTCAATTAGGATATTAATTTATGTAGTATATAGTTATGAGTAACTAAATTATAAAATGGAGCCCTGGTGGCACAGTAGTTAAGAGCTCAGCTGCTAATCAAAAGGTTGGCAGTTGGAATCCACCAGCTGCTCCTTGGAAACCCTATGGGGCAGTTCTACTCTGTCCTATAGGGTCGCTATGAGTCAGAATTGAATCGACAGCAGTGGGTAATGGGTAAATTACAAAATAGCATAAGCGGGCGTTTGACTAATTGACATCATTTTAAAAAAAAAAAACAGTTGCATGGAGTCAGCTCCAAATCATGGCAGCCACATGTGTCAGAGTAGAACTGCGCTCCAAAGGGTTTTCAATGGCCGATTTTTCAGAAGTAGATTGCCAGGCCTTTCATCAGAGGAGTCTCTGGATGAACTCAAACCTCCGACCCTTTGGTTCGAAGTCGAGCATGTTAACCCCTTGCAACCACCCAGAGACTCTACTGACATCACTAAATAAATTTATTAATTGATCAAAAAAACTTTTTTAAAAATCTTATAATTGGGAAAATGGAGAATCCGATTATACTCAGTGTCATCTCAGTTTTGGGCATAAATAGCAGTTTTTTAAGGTGGCCAGCTGGTCAGGTGTGGAGTGACCCCTAGGATTCTCGGACCCCTGCCCCTCGAGCCCACAGCTCTGTCCACTACATGTCAGAAAGCACGTTGGTAGGGCCGGAAGTTTCCAGCCCGGGAGACCTTCTTCTTGCTCTGCACCTCCTGGCTTCCCTCCTCATCCTTCTCTGCACAGGTCAGAAGGGCTTGGGTGTCGGGGCTCTCTCTGGCTTCAGTGGCAAGTCCTAAGACCCGCCTCATCTTGCTCTTCATCACACAGGAAAGGAAAATGACCTGAGATGGTGGAAGTTAAGGTAAAAGGAAGCAGAGCGCTGTCAGCCGCCCAGCCCTGCCCTCACCTCTCCACCCCGTGGCCACCTGGAGTCCAGCCACCAGGCAGCCCCACTCTGCCTGTCTCCCTCGAGGTTCTCAGCCTGCCCCATGTTGTCCTGTATGGGTCTGGCCCCCAGAACAGACACAAGCTCATCTGAGGGCAGGGCCAGGTCTCACTTTATGTCCTGTCTCCAGGAAATTATCAAATAAGCAAGGTAAGCATGGGCTTACTTGTGCTTGCTTACTAATCTGTAATGAACAATTTCACATTTTTTCACCACATCAAAGATTCTGCTTCTAGGTATGGCTGGCATCTGTCTCTCTCTCAACCCCACAGCACATTCCTACAGAATCAAAGCCTCTTTTCAAAGTACCATCCCTGACGGGGCCGGATGACTCAATCAGCAGGGTAAGCACGGGCTTACTCGTTCTTACTTACTACTCTGTAGTGAACAATTTCATATGGGTTTCACCTTGATGTGATGTGGTAAAACCCATGTGAATTGTTCACTACAGAGTAGTAAGTAAGCACAAGTAAGCCTGTGCTTACCTTGTTTATTGGATAATCTACCCCTGCCTGTCCCCTACAAGGGCCCAGTACCCAGCAAGACACCACCCCTCAAAAGCACTTGGTAAATAGTTGTTAAATAAACAAAAACATTTTGAAAAACGTCTTTCTCGAAGGGTCTGGCTTACAGAGACAGCGCATGAGAAAATCGCAGTCTCTGGACTATTTCTGTGGAAGTCACAGGTTACTCACGCACCCCCACCCCACTCGCACCAAGAGCACAGCACAGCCGTCGCCCCATCCCCACCCCACTCGCACCAACAGCACAGCACAGCCGTCGCCCCGTCCCCACCCCACTCGCACCAA